TGGTTGGGCGGGACACATTCAAGATCAGTTCAGCTGGCCCCTTGCTCCCGGACCTCTTCCTACTCAGGTGATGCAGGACGGTTAGTTTAGAGCCTCCGTCGGAGGCCGAGGTCCGAAACGCGATCACAGCCCTCAATCGTTTTCGTGCCGCTGGCCCGGATTCCCTCCCACCTGCACTATTTAAGGATGGAGGTGAGGTCCTCTGCAGGGCACTGACCTCTCTATTCGAATGTATCTGGAACGAAGAGAATGTGCCGGCTAATTGGAGCGAATCGATTATAGTGGCAATATGCAAAAAGGAAAGTCGCACAGACTGTGCGAACCACAGGGGTATTAGCCTAACGCCAGTTGTGACAAAATTACTGGCCTCGATTATCGTTCGTCGCTTCACTGCAGAACGGAAATCTCGGACTAGGGAAGAGCAGGCCGGTTTTCGCCCAGGACATGGCTGTATAGACCATATATTCACTTTGCGGCAGGTGCTAGAGCAGCGCCACGCATACCACAGACCGACAATAACTGTGTTCCTCGATTTCAAGAGTGCGTTCGATTCGGTAGATCGATCGATCGATTCTGTTCGAATTACTTGCGCGGCAAGGTGTTCCCACGAAATATATGAACATCCTCCGTGCTCTATACTCGAACACTACAGGCCGCGTCAGGGTCTATGGTGTCCTATCGGAAGCTTTCCGACCACAAGTGGCGTTCGTCAGGTTTGTCCGATTTCCCCGTTTTTGTTCAATTTCGTCGTGCATTCTATCATGGAGTGTTACCTGACGGAATCCAAGGATGTAGACGTTGAACTGCTGCCTGGTGAAAGGTTAGTTGACCTAGATTATGCGGACGATATTGTCTTGCTTTTCGACGATGTTGGGGCGGCACAATCAACCCTGAATAGCCTGTCCAGAGTGGTCCCATTATTTGGTATGCACTTCGCACCTTCAAAGTGCAAAGTGTTGCTGCAGGACCACCAGTCACTCGATGACCCCTTGACGCTTGCTAACGAGGAACTCGAGGTGGTTGATCAATTCACTTATCTTGGCAGCTGCATCAGCAATGACGAGCGCATAGAAACTGAAGTGAGCTCACGCATTGCAAAGGCCAGAGCTGCCTTCTTGAACCTGCGTCATCTTTGGCGACAGAAGGGAGTTTCCCTCCGTCTGAAAGGTCGTGTATACAAGGCCACAGTGAGGGCCGTCCTGCTCTATGGTAGCGAAACTTGGCCCCTTCGGTCTGAAGATCTGAGGCACCTTCAAGTCTTTGATCATCGTTGTCTGCGAAGCATTGCTGGAGTCGGATGGCACCAGCGTGTCCGCAACGACGATGTGCGTAGGCGAGAGCTAGGCAGTGATAATCATGCTAGCACCCTAGAACAACAGATAGCACTGAATAAGTTGCGTTGGCTCGGGCACGTGCTACGTATGCTTGGTCACCACTTACCTAGGAGGGCCTTGTTTAGTCTGCCAGGTGTAGGATGGCGCAAGGCTCGAGGTGGACAGAAGTTGACTTGGCAGCGGGAAATGAAGTCACTGACGACCAAACTGGGTGCCGTTGGTCCGTCTCGCCTTCCGGGTTGGAGTCCACGTGACTCACCTTGTGCTTGGCTGGAGACTTTACAGGACATGGCACAAAACCGACACCTGTGGCGCGTCTGCTGCCGTCTCTTAATCGGATTGTCTGTTTAAAGTGTGTTTGGTGCTGAGTTATCTGCGGGATAATGGCTGATTATGACGCGTGGCAGTGAAAGCCGCAAGGAAGCTGTCTCGCCGATGCCGCCTTATCTTTGTACGATAGCCAGCTGTTTGTGACGGAATGTTGTCTACACAAGGTGTAGCGCCTTGACCCGGAATGTTTGCTTAGGGCATTAAGGTTTTCAGGTAAGTCCCCCTTCTCTCCCTCTTCTTATTCTTTATTTCATAGTTCCTCATTGTTGTATGGCAGCGAAGCATCAGTTCAAATGGCTGATGTACTGCTGTTGATGATGCTGATGATGTATGATGGAGGTACAGTGTATCAGAGAGGCAGGCACTTTGTCACCATTCATAACAAATGCAGTCAGGCATTGAATATAACACGAGAGGTTTAATGCGCTAAGAACACATCCGACAAACAGTCAGTCGAGTTTGACCCGACGAAGATGACAAAGCACACCACATGCTTCGTCAGCCTCGATCATCGGAATTGCACAATGGCAGTGCGAATCCAGTAAAATCGCTTACATTCACACGCATTTGTCCACACATATGTATGAACTACCACGAAATGTATGGAAAACGGGAATCCTCACGAACATTAGTAATACGAGCGTACATGGGTTAGAATTGGACGCAAGATTAACATCATATTCGGCAAGTTACGAGAAATCGCATGTGCAGGTATAAATACTCAATGATAAGTGTTGGTGGTTAATTTGATTTTACATGTGAACGCAAGTGACAACAATAAGCTAAGCACGCACCAGCAATAAATACAGACAGATATGGGAATAGGGAAACAAATGTCATCAATACGGTTACCAAGTGTGATGATACAAAAGGTATAGTAAAACAGTGACGACTTATTTTTAGTCTATAATGTATATGCAGTCTCCTATATGTGACGTTGGGCTTGCAACTGATGGAGATCGCACAGAGACAGAATGCAACGGGGTGTTAACCACAGCTACTGCGCGTCGCCGCTTAAGGCTACATAAGACACTACTGTCCAAACACGCATAAGAATGGTTCTAAATCGTCGAATGATGTGTGTGACAGATTTCAAGTGGATCCCAATGGATCTGTGCATTAGCTCCCCAGTGCCTTGTGGGTTAGCTCATTAAGCAAAGGAGTCCCTAAATCAAATGTACACGTAACCAACTGCTTTGTGGATCAAGCTGCTAAAGGCTAGATGCAGGACACCTCGAAAAACCCCTGTTGAAATGGACTGTCATAGAGTATCATGTGACCGCTCGACTCCGCCGACAATACTACCTATTCTTCTCCGTTTTCTTTTTACCATCTACTGAACAAGAGACAGGCGTTGACCTGGCACCTGCTTCAAGCGATACGCTTGGTTCGCCTAACGTCTCACTCTGAGTCAGATTGGCCAGCACGCAGCACTAACTCCAACTTTTCACTCTCTTGGGATTGATGTGTACCGTGTCCCCGAAACACGCATAAAAGAGAGCAGTGTTGTGACGAATCTTCGACGCCCTGTTTCTGAATTTGCTGATGATGATTACATTCTTCGCTTCTCTGGCCATACAGAGTCACTTGCTCAAGGTATTTGTGGTGTAGGTGCTGCCCTCGGCAAACTCGTTAAAGGTAATCTGCTCTACTGCATGTCAGTGAACCGCCGCATGAATGCGGCTCGATTTCGAACCTCCGTTGAGGTTAATAAGCACCGACTAAAAACCATGTGTCTTTTCATCGCCTCCGTTTGTATCCCTACTGATTGCAGTTCGGAGGGTATGAAAGACGATTTCTATCGTGAATTTTCATCCCTCTTCGCATGAGGGGAATTACTAATGATGCGGTTGTTGCTGGTTACATGAATGCTCAAGTGGGTCGTCCCTCGGACTCCGAGTAACACCTGAGAGGCCGTTTCGTGGTTGATGCACGTCGAACCGACACTGATGACCGATTCCTGTGGCTATGCACCGACCACAGTCTATATATTGGCAGCAGTGCTTTTCGACACAAGCGTTCATATCGTGTCGCGTGGCGAGCCCAAAATTCCTCCATGACCTGGACCTACATTGGCCATATTGCCATCAGCTACAGAGGGCACACATCAGATCAAGACTGTCGGTTAATATGGAGCACGTGCCTAGATTCGGACGGCCCTGTGGTACGCGAGTCCCGGTCGCATGCTGTTCCCGCTTAGAAGAAGTGCCCAACATCTAATCATTTCAAATGGGGTTTGAACTCGCAGTCTGCAGTTCAATAATATGACGACGAATTGGTTCACCATTTATCAGTGACAAATGAGATCGATTAGCCAAACGCTGACTGAAATCGTCTCAAGTGTGTCATGAAGAACGCTTTCGACGCCTGATGTGCGTCCAACTTGAATAGTACGAACGGTGTGTGGATCTCTCAGGCACGAATCCGTTGGATGGAAACATGTAAACAGGTTCCGTTGGGTTTCGAGAGGTTACGACCTTTCGGAATCGGTTTTGCCACTGAGAAATTGCAGTCTCTGACACAGTGACCTGTTATACAGTTTAGTCCCGGTAGTCGAAGTGATGACTAATAGTGACTTGAGAATCAGCGGTGAAGGTCACCAGGCCTGTTTCTAAAGTTGCCACTTGAACAAACAACGCAAACACTTTGGACTCTACGCCAACCAAGCATAGATAGTAAATCCATAATGTTTTGAAGAGCGATTTTATCTTTCCGTACTTGTTTCCAAATAACTAAACGCATGCCGGTAAAATTGCAACATAATCAAGTTGTTAGCAGCCGACCGCATACAAGTGCTATAACATGTCAGCCCCAATAAAATAGTTCGCAGCGCCATGATTGGTACACAGCACGAATCAACATTTACGTCTGAATGTGAAACGTGACAACTCAATATCCATCGAATCTATAGCAAGATCAAGGCAACAGCAAGACGCAGGTGCACTGTATACACGCTTTGTCGCTACGCGAGCCAGAGGTCGCCCGCGACTACGCAGATTCGAACAGCAGTTCTCTAAATTCCAATGCCAAAGCCTTATCTTTTTGGCGATTAGTTCATTCCACAGTAATGTGACATAATGCCAAACAACAACTTCATGGCAGAGCGTCGCATCGTAGGATAATTTGTGCAACTTTGCGGCATTGCGCATAGAGAGAAAATAAACGAACTAAGCAAACAACGGAAGATTCGACTTAGACACTACCACCCGGATTTCAGGAGGACCGAACCAAACATGATTAGAGGTGCTCGATTACATGATGGACAGGTGACATAATGCATACAAAAAGAGAGAAGGCAGGCAAACGTGTTACTAGTTTACCATGTAACTGACTCACCATAGTAAAAGCGTGCAGAGAGGCCGCCCAACGAGAAATAGATGTCAGAGGCCAGATTTTTAGCACTTCCTTTGTCTTTTCATCCAAACGAATCACACTGTCTTTGGTGACACCGAGCAGGCGAGGAATCAGTTTATTTTTGCCTTTGATACGCTCCTGTGAAGAATCCACAGATGACAATGTCGAAATGTAAATTAGTGCGTTAACTCGAATACATGTGTGGAGAAGAAGGAGACTAAGAAATCAAACGACCAGACATACACAAGCGAACATATATATATATATATATATATATATATATATATCGCATTTAACGCTATTGCCAAAACCACTAGGTTGACGAGGGCGATAACCACAATCCAAGGCACACAAAAACACCGGCAACATGTGTTCCTTAGTCTAGAGGCAGTGAAGTAGGTTAAGCGACTGCAGTTCCTTAAAGCGATACCCCGTATAGCAGTGCTATCAAGTGCAGGCTGAGAAACTGAGGGTGTATATTTTCATGAGCACCTAAGGGACACAACAATGCAGTCAACGATCAGCTAGTTACGGTCCAATGAACGGACAGCTTTGTAATAGGCTGAATAGATGTTCGAGAGAAAGAAAAGCTAGATGGAAAAAATAACAAGTAGGAGAATATTCAATTATGCCGCAAGCCAGCAGAAAACTGTCCGTGAAGCAGAGACATCAAGGGCAAGAGCACGTAACGATTGAAGCGGGTGTGCCAATTACGGGTCGAGTATCGAAGTAAACGATGCATATGCCCCAAACCGCGTGGTGAAGACAGTGCTATCTGACGACAGTGAAGGAAAAGGAGTGGTGGAATGCAAAAGAAAAGCTAGGGAATAGGAACAATAGACAACTGCTAGACAGGAAGGTTAATGGTCGAGATGAGAAGCAGAATAAGAGAGCTTTATTGACATTTGGTTAAATCATAGATGGAGGAAGAGACCCGAAAGGATGGGCAGAATTTGCGACGGACAACAAAACTGAACAATGACAAGGCATTCGCGAAGACATATTACGGAGTCACTGTTGTGAAAAAGGTTTCAGAAAATGGAGAGTCGAAGGATGAGCTAAGTGAAGGACGGACTGGACACGGTTGTAGTAAAATGGAAATTACCACAGTTTACCTGCGTTCGTCGTGCATCCTCAAAGTCTGTCAGTCGAACACCTGGCAGAACGGGGGCACTCATGATCATTTCGATAACAAAGTTGAAGAGGAAAGGAAGTACAGGACAACCCTAACGTGAGGCACTCAGGAGGCAGTTTCCCGTAGACATTTACACGGCCTCGAGAGTCAAGGTCGAGAGACTTCGGAATGAAAATATATTCAGAAGCTCTTTTCACGGATAAGTAGTGCCACAAACTGGCGGCGTCAACACAGTCAAAGGTGTCTTTCAAGTCAAGAAAAACTACCATACCCGGTCGTCTGTATTGATATCCCTGCTCAAACACATGATGAAGAGTAAGTATACAGTTGATGCAAACACGACCATAGCGGAAGCCAGCCTGACTTTCGTTGTTTCAGCTCTCATGAGGACAAGTAAGTAGTCGAAGAATCATACCCATAAGAAGAAGTTAGGGGGTAATGGAAAAAAGGCTAATGCGTCAGTGACTTCAACACAAAGTACGTTGACCATTTTCGAAGATAGGTACGGAAGTTGACAGTCACCAGACTGAAGGCGCCTTTTCAGTATCATAAATAGTGTTAAATAGGAAAGCGAGTGTAGTCAACAAAGATTTATCACAATATTTCAGCAAAGATGGGGAAAAGTCATCGGGTTCAAAAGTTTAGCTTCGGTACAACACGGCAAGCTCGTTTTGCGTAGCAGTATGGCTTATGTGTGTATTTAAATATGAGCCATCGCTGAGGAGGAAACAACAGACCACAGGTTAGAGATGTACAACGCTGAAATGAGACAAAACCATAAACATTTCGCTTCGAAGATAGCAAGGGATTAACTGATTTCGACAACCACTGTACACATCTCCACCTATGTACGTGTGGTCGCCCAACAACAGCAGATTTGTATGCCACCAGGTGCATCCGAAGTTGAGGAATCCTTGCTTATGGAGGAAGTAGATGAAAAGTCTCATATCCTTCGCATTGAGAGGGGAATAAGCAGCCGCGGACAATTTAGTGTTGGAGTCAAATGGCGTGAAAGGCCGTATCCATCGATCACTCGGATAACCAACTTTCTTTACCCTGAATGCCACCACGCTCATTGAGGTCCTCTATCACCGACTCAGTTGGTTGCAGTTCGGTCACAAAGCCATAACATAGCGATGGGGTGGTAGAATTGAAGACTAGCGGATTCATCGGATGAATTGTGTCGAATCCGACTATGCACTAGTACGTGCGACGACTTGCGTGCGTCTCGGCGGTTCACCTAAGACTAAACAAATCCTGCTGGAAACTCGTAAGTTGGAAAACTCCTCCCCCATTAGAATGGAGATTCAGGGGAAATTTCAGGAGTTATATTTTATGCTTTATGAACGCTTGTTAGCATTGGGTACGCTTGGGAAAGAGAATGTTTTCTGCCAGTTAACCCAGCTGCGGCCCTTTTAGCAGTTCAGGTAAAAGTTAGACTTCAGTAAACTGCGCCCTCTGTTGTGGCATACAACGCATTCCAATGGCTCATTTCCAAACAGCTGAAAGTAAGTCCGAGCTCCGACCGTGAAATGTGGTGGGCAAAACAGGCCACGGAGATGGAACCTACTGTGTCTGACAGGCACAGCCGCAGATTGTTTTATTTCGTCAGTCACCGGGTGTAAATCACATCTATCAGCCATACAGTATGCAAATTAGATGGATTAACGATTACAAACATTCGCAAGCAACTAGATCCACGGGAAAGTGAGTGCTTACGATAGGCTCTCTTAGTTATCTGGCTGTTACCAGCGGTTTGTGCCAAGGCCGTTGTATCCCACAATTCCTGTACAATTTTGAAATACAAGAAATCCAGCACCGAGCATTGGAAGGGGCAGTGAACTGCGATTAGTGAGTAGTAGGGGGATTTATTGTGTTTTGGATGTGTGGGGACCGTCTGGTTGTGTCTAGCTGCAATGAATCCTCTCAGGAACGGCGATGTTGAGCTTCTCCCCGGCGACAGAATCATGGGCTTCGATCGGACAGATGATACAGCTTTGTTGGGAAATGGTCCATAAGACTTCCAAAACATCTTGAACCGCTTATCGGTAGAAACATCCAAGTACGGTCTGAAGGCTGCCCATGCAACTGCAAGACTGCCTCATAATTTGCAAGCGCAAAGGTCTGCGCTGACCACCGCAAGTGCAGGAGCAAGTTGACAGCTCCACTTACTGACGGAGATGCATCACAGCAGTGGCGGTGTTATAGATATATTTCCACAACGAACTTATGACGCCCAACTTGTTTTCACTAGTGTAAAAAAAACTTGCGGCAGTGTCGCGGTGTCAGTCCCAAACTTAAGAACAGCATGTACATTCCTCGGTCTATGCGGTCGAATGGTTCGGTTGCGAGGAATGGACTGTCAGTTCGGAAGATCTGAAACAAAGGTCTGCTTAAGACAACCACCAATTACGAAAAAATGACAGTGCGTAGTGGCAGCACCTTGTAAGCCATATGGAAATCTGAAACCCAGTATTGGGAGAAAACGTATTCTCCCGCATTGTTTGCGATGGTTCGGTCACGTACTGAGGTAGGCTGCCCAACGCTTTCCTCATAGCGCAGTAGTTGTGCTTTCCGGACGTGAATGGAAGAGAATTCGGCTGGAAACCGATTTCGATAAAAAGGAACATGAAGAATGTAACGCCACGTTTAACATCAGTAAGCTCTGTGACGCGGACCCACAGCGGTTGGAAGTTTTGGATGCTAGGGCTAATAACAAAAACCAGTAAATCCAAATATGTACGTGCCGTCCCTTCCTTAATTCCTTTAGGACAGTTGGCAAAAAACGAACAGCGAAAAAGGACCACACCCATAGATGCTGCTGTTGGCCTCTCTGCGATGAACACGGGTTTTATCTTCCAAGTCTAACATGGTTGTGATGGTATATTTGTCTTAGCTCGTGCTGATGGATATATATATATATATATACATATATATATATATATATCACAGCCTGTAAAGGAACAGAAACTGCAAGCCGACTTTCGCCAATGTGGCCTGGCCTGGAACCCTTGGACTCTACCGGAAGGGTTGTATAGGTATGCTAAACAATGCATTTCGCAAACCCATATGCCGCCGACATCAACGCGTGTCGCTTCCAACTGTCGTAGAACCGAGTTTGGGCTAGTCAATGACATGACAGCGAGGCTACGTCCGGCTGGTAGGTGTCAATTCAATGAGGAGGGTTTCGAAACTAGCCGCATTATTAGGCATGAGTTCCAGTGGAAACGCCTTCATTGTATTCTTGCTACCAACCTTGTATGTGAATAGTACCGAATTTTTCTTCCGATATCATCCGTGTTTCTTCCGTCTCTTGTCCTCCTATCTACACGTTCTTTTGATAAGTGAATTTGCGGAGAATGGACTCCCCGCACTTCGCCGTTTGAAGCACAGAGAATTCGGAGAACGGAATAGCAGCGCTCTGACCCACAGTAGGAACCAACCGCATAAGCCGCTAACTGGGACTTGAAAACTAGGAGTGGGGCAAATATTGGCGGTAAATTCTACACCTTAGATGTCACATCAAATAGTGGGTAGAACGTTTAGTCGGATGATAAACGCTATCATAGCAAATATTTACCCTATGAGACTGGAGCAGAAAAGCACTCAGTTCTAGAAATGAAGCCACGACAAACTGATAGCAGAGCCGCAAAAATAAAAAGCTTACCTTAACAAGGAAAAAGGTTATGCCATAAGTTTTTAGCGACCTGCAGAACTGACAGTATTTCACTTTGGCTTCAATCTCCGAAAGCCCTGCAAATTCGGCGTGTTGTTGAAAGATTTTCTTCTCCAAACTACGAATCCTTGCATATTCTTTAGGCAAAAAGTCCTTTAAGCTAAAAAAAGAAACCAACCAATGGATCAATCAATAAGCGAAGAGAAACAAGGCAAGCAAATTCATTTTAGCAAGTCGTTGTATTGGTCATCAGGTGGTCCGACACAATGCCAGTTACGTGTGTTTGAGAGTGTCCAAAACAGGACCGATTGGCAACAGTGATAGTAACAACACCACACCGGGGGCGAACAAGCACAGGGAAGACGAGCTACGCGTGTTCATTGATTAGCCAGTCAACTAGAAAGCGGAAGGAAAATAAGACCAATGCATCGATCGAAGGGAAATCCGAAACGGACGTTAGTATGAGAGAGGAGTTGACTGGAGCTAGCAGCGATGGATAAAAATAAACACACCCGATGATGAACCTGCAAATAAACGCGAAAAGGGGAAATGAGATTCCACGATCGAGGCAAAAACAAACGTCGGAACGCGACATGGTCAGCCAATGTGGAGAGGAACTATGAGATCCAATGGCGCTCGGTTGATGCAGATGACCGGTCAGGACACGTTTTGTGGTTACTAAGAGTATGGCAACAGAGGTAAGCAATGGACAGCTGCGATACTTCAGCTAAGGTCAATTACGCTCAGAGCACAGAAGAGCGGCACACGTAGTACTAACGACTCGAACCGAAGTAGAGGAGATTAGCAGTGGAGATAAGACGAGAAAAACGCGAACACAAATCAAATTATGTTGAAGAAGAGTTAGAATAATAGGCTGACAATAAAGCACACGGCATTATGTGCAAAGCGCCACACACTCTGTAAGTGCCATGACTGACAAGTTCTCCAACCACCGGCAAGAAAGACCGAGGAGTCTCCAACCAAAAGAAAAAAACGTGCAGGCCAGACAGGGTCATCACATCAGTTTCCTCACACATTGCTGTCATCGCTTGGTAACCATGAAAGTCCATCGAATCATAGGAACAAAGGAGAAGGCCTACGACGAGATAAGTGTTTCATAGACATGAGGGCAGGAGGCGAAGCACGAACTACTGGTTCACTGTTGAGTAAGAAATTTCGGACATAAGCACCACAAAGGTAATAGTCTCACCAATTACGAGTGACGTTACCAGTGGCATCAGTGGCGTTCAACTCGCAGTGACATACATCGCCGATTCACGTAGTACCACTGAACGAACTACAGCATTGTACACCTTCTGTAGAAGGCTTCCGAATGTCATATTTTGTGAGACTTGAGGTAAACAAGTTCACTCTGCTTTGGATTGTTTTAATCCATAACCCCCGGTGCTGTCTAGACAGTGACACCCTAAGTGTAACTCATGGCAGTTACATCGTATAGTCAGTGACCTCACATTACTGGAACGTTGATGTGCGTCTAGGTCATGCTTGGAAACAATTCCGTCCGTACGCTTCATTTTGCCTCCGTCACTATCCTCTCTGTGAACCGCTGAAAACTGACAATGCCAGATTCTGTTGCTTGGTGAATTGCCCTAATCCATTGTCACATAAAAGGCGCAGCGTATTGAGAAGCCGCTAGTTTATACAGGTGTGTGACTTGAAGCCGTAATTGTTGGCTATATGCAGTGAATTGAAGGTTGTTGAATCGGATTTGTGCCGGAAGTGCAGATTGTTGAGGTATGCATCGACAGTGCTTACTTATTTATTTATCCAGTACCGAGACTTTTTGTTGTGATTAAGGTGGAAACGCGTTAGCGCCTTTCCGATTCCTTTTATTGGTAACCTAACTTAGTGGCTTCACTATCGATGAGAGGCTTTGGAGAGATATATAGACTTTAGCGATATACACATTGAACATTCCCAAAATTCGGCTGCCAAAGCAGAATCGATTGGTCAAGTTGAATGTTTTCTCGGCGGGTTAAGAGTAGAGGTGGAGTGATGGCCCGATCTCGTGACCGTATCTAGAATTTTCAACGTGCAAAGGGTTCCACACATAGTCCTATCCGTAAGCAACCAGTTCAAGCTCTAAGAGAGAGTGTCGTCTGCCCATTCCAAGTTTGCAAAGCTATCGCTTCGCATGACATCTATTTACGAAGCACGCCGGCTGGAGTCATGTGAGATCAGTTCGGTTGCAAAAGTAAGTATGAAAGGAGGAATGGAATGGCCTTCATGTGCTCAAGTTACTGAGCGAAACAGAGGGGAGGAATTCCTATAGATCCTAGCATGGTCCAAGGAGATGTGGCGCAGAAAATTAAGAATGAAAAGAAAATTCAGTAACGGCTTTAAAAGATGGAAATCGCCAACGCCAGATACGTAACCGAATCGAAGGCAGTCTTAAGTGTCAAAGACGAGTTTTGGTGAAAGTTCGTCGCAGCTACACTCAGACAGACAGCCACCACACATTCAGGAAAGCGCTAGGTAGCCATTTCGTCCTATTGGGACTCGTCAGTAGCGCGCACTCACCGAATCCTGCCGAATTCGAACCAACAATCTTACTCTTACGAGCCAGCGATTTACGTCAATGAGCAATGGGTGACGGCAGCGGACCGCCAGGAAGATGTTTGTAGGTGAGTTGTGTGAATAAAGCTGTGCGAATACCTGGTTCAATGACAACGCACGCTGTGCTGGAGTAAAGCTCAGCCTACTTTCAATGACAGTTCTCTTGTAGGTCAACTACATGCACAAAATGAGGCTCGTGTGATGTTCGGAGACAATGGTAATATGAACAATGCTTAGACGAATCGTGCACTCGATTCTTTGTCTGCTGGAAGATTACAGCGGCGACAAACGGCAGCGTGAAGGCGCCGCGATAATGTGGCATGCAGAGATGAATAGAGTGACCAGATGGAAGGTTCTGAGTCACCACCTTGCTTCAGTAATCACGGAGGAAGGTTATCGGACCCAGATGCCGTATTGCACTTCGCCTGCGGAACCGCACACAGAACAGCTACGCTACAGGAAGACGTGAAATCCAAAACAAAGAAGGTATTAGGTGATCTGAAGAGCAATGACGATACTGAACAGATTGAACTGCCATTCGAAGAGATCTTCGGATTTGTTTTAGTGCGTCCGAGAGTGAGTTACTACTTCATTATCTCAATTGTTATTTCACTTACTGAGGCTTCGAATGTGTTGAAGCAGCATTTGGCGTCCCATTGGTACTATACCTTTTCTTAGTCGATTACATCCATAGCGCTTTCAACTTCCGCTTTGAGGAAATCATGTTCTTCTGTAGATCCCTCAAAAGGGTCATTAATGTTTACAAATTGCAATCCCTAATCGCTATTGTTCATGGAGTGACAAATCACAAAACAGACAATTATACCCCACTCTATGTACTCAACTGTTATACTATCGCCTAATTTGGTTACCTAACGTACGTATTTTCTAGGAGCATTTGCGCTCGCTGGATGCAGCTGGATAGCGTGATGGACCATTTTGAGATATCTATGAAGCAGCATGATCCTTAAGGAAGTTAAAAGTGCAATTGACTGATAGAAGGTACAGATTTCTCCCCCTGAAAAGTGTACTCTATTTGCCAACGATGCCGGTCTCCATAGAAGCTTTGGCAGATGATGTTCCAAAGTGACTCGGGTATCCCGAGACCGAATACTCAGTGAAGTCACCCCCGCGCCCCAACGTGATTGGTCGTCCAGAAACCCCATATTGAGCAAACATTCGGATCTGAGGGCATTCATAGGGGAACAAGGGGCGGTTGCAATCGGTGCACAGATTCAAATTTAGATTTGTAGTACCGTCTTGTGGTTGGATTGCGACACGCAATCTCTACTGAGACCTAGGTCATTCCGATCATATGGATCGTATCCGAAATGGAGGTGATTCGGTGCGACTCCTCCCAACACCGACATTGGCACAGCTTCTTCGCTACATTAGGTAATCCGCATTGAAGGTTCTGTTCGACCGAGCAAGAGGACATGTGAAGGGTACATAACCTCGAAGAGCAAATATGTTGCGGTGATTCGGGCGTGTGCTAAGTGTGCCTGCTCATCGTTGTGCATCCGACGCTTGGCAATATGATGTTTAAAGTGAGAGGGTGTCGAGGTAAGGTGAAGTCGTGAACTGAGAAATTGGTAATGATTTGGCACGCCTTTCTCCAAAAATAACCGAGTCAACGCGACCCATTGTGTTCCGCGTACAATGCACTACCGAACACAATAATCGACCGGCGTCAAGAGCGGGTTTGTTGTCGCTGCCTAGTTGGAGTGTACAATTAAGACGCACATGGTGCTAAGTTATCCATGAAGTAAGGCTGACGATGAAGCGAGGCAGTGAAAGCCGCAAAAAACATCTCCCGCTGATGACGCCATGTTGACATGCAGTAGTCAGTTGTTTCAAACTGTGCATCATTGTGCATCTGCTCAATGCCTTGGATCCTACATCAGGTGTTCGTTAACCTATTTGTTTGTGAATAATAGCAGGAGGATTGCTTCTAATACGTGGAGCGCAGTACTGTATTACTGCTGGTATCATCCGCAAATAGCGACTATTCCCACATGGCGCAGTCTCAAAGCCAATGGAATTTCCGAATCCGCTATATTGTTTTTCCATCCAACAATCACACCCACCAATTCATTTCTTGAGAAATGTTTGCAGTTGTGGAACTTTCCATTTGTCAGGAACGATACATGTTTATTATTATTATTATTATTATTATTATTATTATTATTTTTGTTCGTCGCAATCAGCCGACAATTCAGATATGTCGACCAGCTATCCGGAAAAGCACCAGACGGTCGTTTCGCCCTATTGGGGCTCATCAGTGGTGCGCATCCTTCGGTCCGCTGCGGAGGATCGAACCCATGACTGCTAGTGGCTCTTGCCAACTAGCCCGCAGCTTATGCAACTGCGCCATGGAGGACGGTATTTGACTATCATGAATTGTTAGCTAAATGCGATATAGCCCGACGCATCCTCCACTGCCATGCAGATGACAGCGGTCGGCCTTCCGGCGTCAGGACTTCCCGGTTACGGCAGCTATGAATCGACATAGCATTTTGTGGAATCCGTACGGGCGAATTGGTATTACTTATTATTATTATTATTACTATTATCGTTGTTATGATTAAACGTTTGTTAGCAGCTCGAAGCATCAAAGTTTAATGTCCTGACTTTAGTTGACCAACTGAACTGAACTGTACTGAATACTACTATTCAGCCACAAATAGAGGCTACATAAGGGGCTGAAAAACAAACTCACATGCGAGACGGAGAGAAGAAGCCGTCTGACTGTGACGACCGTAACCTTGGAGATGCGTAGTAGCAGCACTGTATGAAGTGAGTTACCAAGTAAACCGTTTGAGACACATTCCAGGTGCGTGCCGAGCCGACAGGAAGCGATTTTAAAACACCCTCCGAGAGCTTTAACTTGTATGTTGATGTAAGGCACAGAGTGTAGGTTACTGTCTTCTACAATGTGCAGCCCATAAAGCAGATTATTAATCGTGGGAGGACGCCACAAAAAGTACCGCGAATGTTGACAGCATCTGCATAGCATACGTAGCGCAACGAGTCTTCCAGATTGGTGACCTGTGAATTTAACTGAGGTCGCATCCGTTGATAAGCTTAAGAAACGACACGGAGTAACAAACGGAGGCGTTTGTGATTTCCCGGTTCCGGGGAGTGGGGCTCATTGATCAAGCGATTTGATGATCATTCTTTGTGGAAAAAGAGCACCATCCATCCTAATCTGATATCAGCCAGCAGCCAATCGGAAGAAGAAAGTTCATTCACAGCTCCTTCGTAGGTAGAAGAGAGAAAAATGTATCAGCAGTACGCCAACACATCGTACCAATGTTTCGCTACTTCGGCTTGGGCAACCGAGTAGTATCTCGCCCTCTGACGAAACCATGGACTTTGATGTGTTGTGTTGTGTTTTCTCTTACTATTTCTGTACCAGCTGCCCGAGGGCTGGGTACACCGCGACGTGGCCTGCGTCTATGCGGATTGGAGCATAAAACGGCAGACTTACGACGCAGGCATGCAATCATGTTGGCTACCGGCTGACGCAGCTGCAACTAAACGAGAAAAAATAAAAAAACCCAGTTGCTTTGTGTTCTGCCCAACCGCATGCATGCAGCCAATGATGGATTGTAAATAAGCTAATGCGAGATCGAGAGGTTAGGAATTCAGGTGCCGCAACTCGCGTCGCCACGGCAGGTTTAGTCACCGTCAGCCGCCTGAGAGAAGAATTTCTACCAGTGAATTCTTTAGTATTGGCTGCGCTTACTTGAGCCGACTAAACAGACCTGCCTTCTGTGGTCAAAGAAAGCGGCTGTATGCGATAAGTTATCATGACCTATATGTCAAAAACACATTACAAACTCAGTGTCGCATAGCAAGACCATGGAGACACATTCACTGGCTCCTAATAAACATTTGCATGTACGTATAAGTCGCATTCGCAGTGTGATTAGTGAACATGTACAGGAGCCTATGAATAGAGAATGAAAGACATGTATTCGCTCACACACACGCACATTCAGAGTATGTTAAAAGGAAAAATTCGAGAAAATTTTCTTTCAGGCAATTCGCAAAGGTGGATCATTGACAGGGGGCATATCAGCGCTCTAGTGCATCAGCTCTAGTTTCAATATGCACACTGCAGACAGTATCAGGCCGTGAAAACAAGCAGCGTGAGAGAAGCCTGAACTCACTCCAAGAAGTTAAGTCGAAATCTTTCTGCAACATAATCCCCGAACTGAACTTGACACTGAATGGCCGCCAGGTGGACCGCTTCCTCAAGTGAAACGGGGTGTGTGCCTTTCAGAATGGCATCTTTGAGCTATTGTAAGAATTGGAAATGGATAATATCTCGGCAATCACAAGGAGGATGCGTTAACGCCAAAAATAGGAGGTTGGAACAGAACACTGTGGTTATGATTGTGCTCGAGATAGAATGTGCAGCTACCTCAATAACTTGAAAGTGGTGGGATAATTCAGACTGTTACTACGCCCTCCATGTTAACAACACATTTGTGGAAATAAGGTACGTGTTGAGTAAAGCCGGACTTTTAACTCCGAGCGCTTTTTATAAGAAAAATATTTGTTGTTGGTTGAGAAAATTGATGTCAAAAACACTTGAGGAATGTATAAGAATATATGTTTGCAGAAAAATCAGGTAAATTTCGCTGATATCATCATAAAAATCTTTGATGGTTCCGTTATGAACTAGCAATCGGAAACATTTCCGCGAAAAGCAAAAGTAACAAACATTTTCGGGTTGTTGGTACAAAGGTTTCATGAAGCGTTGCTACGGTTAATAGGTTTGTGGTAGAAATCGGAGCGCACTACACCGATTGACCTATGGTCGACGTCGCGTGGAACAATAGTAATGGCTTTATCATGCCGAAAAAGTGAATTCCGCAAATGCTCGTAACGTAATTTAGTGATGTAATGTGGGGACAGAAGTGACTGCGAAAAGAACAGGCAGGTGGTGAAAAACTAACAAAGAGCCAGCGCAAAATTAGCAGCAAGTGAAAAATAACACAATGACAAGGCCAAAAATGCACGATACGTGACTAGAGTCCTTTCCAGATGTATGAGTGCGTAATGTCACCGCGTGACAAGAAAACTCTCAATGATAACTCACCTGAACATAAAGTAGATTGAGTTGCACCGGATCACGAGCGTCAACATTCATGTCCGAGAAGAAATACCGACGTTTGAGAAGCAATATATCGTCCTCTTCGATACCTTGTTGCCGAAGGCTTTGGGATGGATTTAACCAGTCCACTGAAACGAGAGAGAAAGAAAGCGAAATTGAAGACAGTAGAAGCGATGCTAATAATAAAACCGGTCAGGGGAAAAGGCAATATGAGCACCCGTAAAACCACCAGTTAGTATTACACATAGAACAAAGAAGTACCAAAAAAGTATAAAACAAGGAGACAAATGTCATGGGATGCAACTCTGCGGACAAGAGATGGTATGTGGTGCCGTGCAATCGTCCAACACAGTACGCAGATGGGTACGCAGTTGAGTGCAGCCCGATGACGAATTTAGGGACCGCAAGCACTGATTCAAAAATACGGCCGCATTTCCATTGAACCCAAAAAAACGCACCGCGTTAACATAAGATCTCTGACTAACAAACCCGCATCAAGCCATGAAACAGACTCCTTGTCAGTTCGGAGTACAATGCTTGCCTTTTTGATCCGCACATCCGCAACAACACCCACCTGACGACAGGTGAGGCAAGCACTTAGGTATGTGAATTGATCCGTAGCCTCCAGCAGCCCTCAGTTATTTGTACGGTTGGTGGCACCTGGTTCCGGATTCATCTGTCACTGCGGCCTCCATGTAGACAGCCACAGGAGGACAGCGATTACTGAGAGACCATAAGTGGCTTGCGCCGCACCATACACATACCCCTTATCCAGCGTACACCGAAATAATATGACGGGGAGGCATGTGGATGGGAGCCATGTTTCATCAACGGAGTCGGCCCACACTACTTCAAGACGCAAAGCAACAACATACCAATCAGGCCAATTGGGGAATCATGCGCACTTGAAATACACAAGGCAGGGCTGGGCCGTAGCCCGCCCCACATTGGATGCATGGAAGATATATATATATATATATATATATATATATATATATATAAAGGAGGTGTTACTTCATTGCACGTTAAATGTTCAGTTCACTTTCAATGGTGAAATGTACCGTCAGATTGACGGAGTGGCAATGGGATCTCCTTTGGGGCCGCTGCTGGCTGATATATTCATGGCGAAACTGGAACATGGCCCACTTGCAACGCACATCCATGAAACCGAAATGTACGTACGGTATGTGGATGACACCTTCGTACTTTGCAAATCCGAAAAGCATGCGGAACAGTTGCTGAAAGCTTTCAATGACGCACACAAGAATCTTCATTTCACTTGTGAACACGAACTCGGAAACCGGTTACCTTTCTTGGATGTAGAAGTTATCCGTAACTCAGACGGATCATGCAGCAGAAAGGTACACAGAAAGCACACATGGACTGGGCAGTACACTAACTTCCACAGCGCAGTACCACTACAGCACAAGCGGAGTTTAATCAGATCTCTCGCCTTCAGGGCGCGCAGTATTTGTACACCGGATACCGTCAACGAAGAACTACAGAGAATCAGTGACGCCCTCAGGGAAAATGGCTATCCGGATAAATTTATCAAGAAACATTTGAAGGAACGTAATCGAAAGCCACCTAGGAGCATTGCTCCTAAGAAAGAGCTTTTCATACATGTACCCTTTAAGGGCGATTCTGCAGCTGATATGTTATCCAGACGCCTGAAAGATGCTGTCGAGAAAACTTATTTCGCGGCCCGCCTGAGAACCGTTTTTCACAATAAGCCGTTGCTTACAAAACCCTTGAAGGATAGACTACCGCCATTGACCCGTTCAATGATCATTTGTCAGTACTCGTGCTCCTGTGGTGCACGATACGTGGGTCGCACGACGAGACGCCTATCTCAGAGGGTTCGTGAACACATCCCGGCATGGTTTTACAGAGGCGAAATGAGGTCTTCAGACAGCTCTATCATGTCGCACCTCCTTGAATGTGGCCATACAGCTTCAAAGAATGATTTCAAAGTCATTTACTCATTACCTGAACACTTCTCCCAAGGATTCCGCAAACAGCTCTTATCCATCGCCGAGGCTATGTACATTCACCATCTAAAGCCGGAATTATGTGTCCAAAAACGATTTATACGGTCGACATCACTATCTTGGCCAACGGACACCGTTACTTAGTTATTTGGACGTCACCTTACCTACTTAATTACCTTGTACTAATGAGAATTGTGTACATATGTTTATTTAGTTTACTTGATCTACCATCTCTATCTCTGTCTCAAGTTATCGATTTTGATCATTCAAACAGTCAAGAAGTCAATCCCAGCCCCAGTTGACGCTATATCCACAATCACTGTTATGTAAAAGTTTGGGTCTGATGAGATTTACCGAAAAGAATTCTTTACCCTGAAATGATTTCTGATATTGATTCATATATATATATATATATATATATATATATATATATATATATATATATATAGGGTAAAGATTAAGTGGTCGAGGGGGCTACTAGTGAAACCACAAGCCAAGGTCGCACAGTTGTGTAAGGCGATGCGAGTGGGTGCCTAAGTCTGAGTGTGAGGCACCCCTGAGTCAGTGATGCGACCACTAGAAGTGACACAGCCACCTAGGTAAGTGAACTGATCCACTACTTCCAGTGCCTGTTCAGGGTGATAGCTAGAATCGGTGTGTCAACCCAGTCCTGCAATAGCACTTTGCACTTGGAAAGTGCAAAGTATGAGCCGAAACGTACAGTGTGAAGTGGTGTTTGCATCCCCAATGCATCAGACCCAAGGAGAAGTGCCATCCAGGTTTGTCAGTCGGTCGCCTGGCAGAAGTTTCACTTCAGAATAGTCTGAAAGAACGGAGTCATTCATGATCATTTCGAGCACAAATCTGAAGAAGAAAGGAGATATGGTACAACCTTGATGAATCCCACTTGTGGGGGAATTCAGGAGAATTTTCCGTACACCCCTACACGGCCTCGGGAGTCACGACAGAGGGACTTCAGAATGGAAAGGTTTAGCTGGCATGCCCTTCATAAGTAGTTAGTGCCACAAGCTGGCGTGGTTATAAGAGTCTAAGGCGGCTTTCAATTCGAAGAAAACCACTAAAGTCGGTTGTAGGTATATGTGCCTCTGCTGTAAAACTTGGCAAAGAGTAAATATGTGGCCGATGCAACCACGGCCAGGGCGGAAGACTGCCTGGCTTTCAGTGATTCGGTTCTCACGGGCACTATTAAGCCGTCGCAGAATGATACCCGTGAAAAGTTTTGAGGTAAGGGAAATAAGGCTAATGTCTGGATGATTTTTGCACAAAGTACGCTGATTCCTCTTGAAAATGAGCACGACTGTTGATGGTCTCTAGCCAGAAGGCACTTCTTAAGAGTCCCAAATCGTGTTAAAAAGAGAAGCAAGTATAGTCAATAAAGAGTCACCACTATTTTTCAGCCAAGAATAAAGGAGGTTGTCGGGTCCCAGGGCCATTTTTCGTTTTTACTCGGCGAACTCAAGCCGAATCTCTTCCAAAGTGGGATGTGTGGTAACTGCTTCCCATGTCGATTCAGGCAATGTCGCAGCAGGTCTGCTGAACTGCTCTTTAAAATGTTTCGCCCAACGAGCTAGTCGACGACGTTGATAATGGATCAGATGTCCGTCTTTCTCAGCTATTGTCTCGCTGGTGGCTTTCTCAGACCCGTGTTCTGGATGAGCTGGAGTAGCACTCGGCTGTTTCCCATAGCAAAGGCTTTCTTCATCTCAAGGGCCTATGCAACACACGTTCCCAATCAACTTGAAGACTCCTTGTAAGGCGTCGTTTCAGGGAGTTACGGATACGCTGAAACTCAGTGCCCAATGAAACCTGTTTACGCGTTTCGATCAAATTAATCGATGCATTAGAAATCCACTCAAAATTACGTCTCAAGTTGGGTACATAGGAAGTGCCAAAAGCATTCTTCATGGCACACTTGAGACGATCCCAGTCAGCGTTCGGCTCAAAACCTCATTCATCACTGACAATTGGTTGGCCAGTTCGTCATAATATCGTTGAACCGCAGACTGCGAATTCAAGTTACTGGTAAGAAAAGTAGAATATAGGCGCTTTGAAGATGGAGAATAAAGATGGAGAATGGCCGGGATCCAGGCATGTGCTCCAAACTGACTGACAGCCTTGGAGTGATGTGCTCCACGTGTAGCTGATGGTAAAATGGTAACTCTGGGTCCAGGTCATTGAGGAATTCCGTGGGCGCCAGGTGACACGGTGTTAATGTTTGCTGCAAATATAAAGGTTGTGGTCGGCACAACGTTGTAGGAATTGATCACCAATGTCTGTTCGGCGTGGATCGACTCCGAAGCGCCCTTCCAGATGTTGTTCAGAATCTGAAAGACGACCCAATTGGGCATTCAAGTCACCGGCAACAATCACGATATCGGTATTCTTCGCCATGCGGAGAAGAGATGAGAGTAGTAGAAAACATCTTCGATACCCTCCGAACTGTGGTCGGTAAGAGCATAAACCGAGGCAATGAAAAGGTACCTTGTCTTCATACGTTGCCTATTAACCCCAGTAGTTCGAAGTCGGATCGTAAACGTGAGGCTGTTCACCGGTATCTAGTCGAGCAGATCGCCTTCAGCATGTTTGCTGAGAGCAATACCAACACCGTAAATACCCTGAGCCATTGACTTGGCATTACCAGAAACGCGAAGAGTGTAATCATTGTCGTCAGATTCAGAATCAGGGAGTTGAAGATTCGTTACAACGCTGTTATCCTGTATGCATGTTTCGGAGACACAGCACATATCAATACCAAGAGAGTGAAGAGTGGTAGTCAGTGCTGCCTGTTGACCGACCTAACCCAAAGTGCGGACGTTAAAAGAACCAATGTGAAACGACACTGGTGGTTTAATGGGAGAGCTACATGTATCGATGGCAGCAGTAGTGAGGTCAGCGGTAGATTCTTGCGCAATAGACGGGGATAAAGAGAGTCGAAGGGGGTAGAAAAATAAGAAGATGAGGGAGTATTGTCAACGTGGTAGAGAGGACAGTTGATACTCTCCGGCTGCCCATTCCGAGAGGGGTTTTGTTCGAGGTGCCCTACCTCTAGACTTTGACTCAACAGTCTGACCCACAAGGCAGTGGGTGGTTTGGAGGTTTGCTTGAGGGACTCCGCC